CAAACAAGGATTGAATTGCATACAGATTTTTATTGCATAAGCGTGCACCTGGGAATGTACTTGATGGTGGTCATGACCACCTGAATGTAGCTATGTGTGGGATGCATGGACTGTAAATGTGTATGCTCGAGGCACGTGTGGGCAGTAACCAAAGTAACCGTTACAGCTCAAATAGCGCACCTGGGGAATGTACTTGATGGTGGTCATGACCACCTGAATGTAGCTGCTTGCACCATGGTGGGTGCAGGGCGGGGCAGGGGTAAACATGCAGGCACAAAGTCAACTGTGGAGAATGAGCGATGAAACGGGCAAGGTGACTTTTGAGTCGACTGAAAGTGACTTTTGAGTCGACTCAAAAGGGTAAACATGCAGGCACAAAGTCAACCGTGGAGAATGAGCGATGAAACGGGCAAGGTGGAGACAGACAGTCGTCTTGGAACTTCGAGTGCGAACGGAGAAGGGATGGATGAATGGGGTGGAAATGGAGGGATGATGCAGGCGGTGGAAAGAAACGTTGTGTACTGTGTGATGTGGTATGTCGTGTGTGTGTGGTGTGGTGTGGTGTGGTGTGTGTGGTGTGTGTGGTGTGGTGTGGTGTGTTTTGTGGTGTGGTGTGGTGTGGTGGAGCTGAGTGTAACGCACTTGAAGGTGGTGACGAGGCCGAGCCAGTCATGGTGGAAGGAGGAGTGCAGCGAGGTGAGGAGAGCGAAGATCCACACTCCCAGCGAGATGGCCTTGCACGTCCATGACACCCGCTGCCCTCCCCTCTGCACGCATTGAAAAGGAAAGAAGGCGAGCATGGGGGAAGGCGAGCATCACATCATACACCATGCACCACTCACACCATACATCATACATCACTCACACCATACATCATACATCACTCACACCATACATCATACATCACTCACACCATACATCATACATCACTCACACCATACACCACTCACATTGTACACCATGCACTGCCACACAGTGAAGGCAGTGAGGGCGACGGCATGCACTGAGAATGCCACGTCACTGGCTGACACCGGAATGAGCTGCCACACCAGCCACGGGGGAAGAGCGGGGAACAGGGGGAGGAGGGAAGGGGGCTGAGAAGGAGGGAGTGGCAGGGTGGGCGGAGGAGTGGGGGGTATGCTGAGAATGCCACGTCATTGGCTGAACCAGGATGAGCTGTCACGGGATGAGCTGTCACCACAACCACAGGGAGAGGGAGCGGGGAATGGGTGCATTGGGGGATTTATATAAATAAGGAGTGGGATGGGAACGGGAGGCTTCAATCACTAACAAGCAAGAAGTCACGAATCATACACTCACCTCCCCTGGGCCATACATACTTGGCATGGTACCCTTTAAGTTGACTTACATAATGACCCATTCACCCCCTCTGCGCTGTCGCTCTCACCTCATCAGCCACCTGCAGTGAGCCACTCACCTCCTCTGCGCCATATTTGGCGTGGTACTGCTGCTGCACGAGAGGCGAGAAGAACATGGATGCGTTGAAGATTAGGTACGCCGTGTGCTTGGTGAGGTACCCCTGTGAGGCCCTTGAGTCGTGACCCATCAGTCACACACACGGGATAAGCCACCACCCACACACACACTCACCTCCTCTGCGCCGTACTTGGCGTGGTACTGCTGCTGCACGAGCGGCGAGAAGAACACGGATGCGTTGAAGATTAGGTATGCCGTGTGCTTGGTGAGGTTGAACACCAGGAAGTCAAAGTTGAGCCCGATCACACTGCGAGGGGAGAGGGAGAATGGGTTGAGGAAAGGAGAGGAGAGGAGAGGGGCAGATGGGGGGAGGAGCATGGCAGTGTGCAATGCAACGAGGTACGCCGTGTGCTTGGTGAGGCTGAACACTAGGAAGTCAAAGTTGAGCCCGATGACACTGCGAGGGGAGAGGGGAGGGGGACATGAGAGGGGAGAGGAGAGGGGTTGGCATAAGAGGGAGGAGAGAGCGTGACAGTGCGCAGAGGTACGCCGTGTGCGTGGCGAGGTTGAGTTGAACGCGAGGAAGTCGAAGTTGAGCCCGATGACACTGCGAGGGGAGAGGGGAGAGGAAGCGAGTGGAGGGGGGGGGTGGAAACGAGGAAAGGACGGGTATGTATGGCAGTGCGAGAGACGAGGTGGGCCGTGTGCTTGGTGAGAAGAATGAACGCGAGGAAGTCAAAGTTGGGCCCGATGACGCTCCAACGGGAGAGGGAGAGTGTGGGGGGGGTGTGTGCGGGATTTGAGCGTAAGGGAGAGAGAGCATTGCAGTGTCAGAGGCGATGCATGTGGTTGAAGGCCAGACAATGGAAGGTAAGCCCAGATAACACTGCGAGGGGAGAGGGGAGAGAGGGGAGGAGGTTGTGCGGGATTTGATGCAAGGGGGGGAGAGCATTGCAGTGTCAGAGGCGATGCAGGTGGTTGAACACGAGGAACCCAAAGTGGAGGCTGATGAGAGTGCGAGGGGAGAGGGGATTATGTGAAGAGGGAAGGGGTCTGAAATGGGGAGCGAGCATGGCAAGTTGAACACTAGGAGGTTGGTTGAACAGGTTGGTTGAACAGGAGGAGGATGAGCAGGAGGAGGATGAGCAGGAGGAGGATGAGCAGGAGGAGCAGCAGCAGCAGCAGAAGGACCGCGAGCGTTTGAGACGTCTCATAAGACGTTTCAAAACCGATCTGCACGAGACCCCAGACGCACCTCTTGCATTTCCACTTGAGCGGGGCCTGCGAGTAGAAGGAGGGCGACCACACAAGGTGGCCTTTGAGTCGACTCGTGACAGCACACACCTCTCTTCCCCTTCCCAGTTCCAAACACTTGAATCGCACCTGACCTCATTGCACCTCTGAACCTGCACACAGCACTCCCTTTGCAACCACGCGCACCTCTTGCGTTTCCAGTTTTTAGCCCAAGCGCACCTCTTGCGTTTCCAGTTGAGCAAGGCCTGCGGGTAGAAGGAGAGCGACCACACGAGGAAGGAGAGCCATCCCAGCGACTCGTACAGCACGTGGAGGCTCAGCGAGTGCCACGCGCACGCGCTCGAATCGCACGCCACACCTGCTGCCGTTGCTGCTGCCGCCGCTGCTGTTGTTACTGCTGCTGTTGCTGCCATGTCAGAAGCTGGCCCTAGAGTGATTGATGGGTTAGATGAAGCGAGTAGTAACGAGGATGCCAGTGCAGCGGGTGTGGCAATGAGAAATGCTACTAATGTTCCTACTGCTGCTGCTGCTATTTTCCGGCCGGAATCTCCTAAAGGAACAACTGAGAGGAGATCTGATCCTACGCTTGGCTGGTCTAACGACACCGAGCAGGAGCGGGAAACTAACGCGTACGTATCAGCCTCCCGAAAGCAGCATTCAGCGAAACTGAATTTGTCAGAAACTCTTCTTTGGGTCGTCCGAGCTAGTTTCGCAGGATAAAGCGACGAGCAGGAAGATCCAATAGCGGGGACAATGGGAATGTATTTACATGAAGGTGATGGTGCTGAATGGCAAGCGATGCTGCCTATAACGGGTATATGTTTTCTGATTAGCAACACCCTAAACGAGGCCCCGGATCTCGTGGGAACGAGAAAGACGGCCAGGAATGGAGAAGGGGACAACGCGGGCATAAAAGCTTTCCGTCCAGGCAACTGTACAGTGACCCGAAGATATGCAACTGGGCAACTGTACAGTGGCCCAGTGAATCGTTATTGTATTCGACGTCGAGCAGAGAAAAAAAAAACTATGTAGATTGAAAGAATGGCAACACTCTAGGCTGACGCGTCGCACGAATCGAGGGTAGGAGTCGGATATGCGGCGCGCGAGAGAGAGTCGACGACCAATTCAAGCGAAGTTGCGCCGGAAGCTGCGGGCATGGCGAACCTGGTCTGCAGCATTCAGCCCTGAGACCCTCTGTCGTGTCGTATCTAAAAAGTATCGTGTTACTAACCCGTCGGAACACCAGGTGTATATTAACAAACAAAAATCCTCTGCCAAGTCCAGCCTACATGGTCAAGCTCAGGTCAGGATGGGAACGCTCGACCCATCACAATGAAGAAAGGGCAGGAAATGCGGCGGCCAAATTTCAGACTCCAAGGCGTTCAATGGCGGGACGCAACCAAAGGAGCCGACGAATCTGGCCAGTTGAAGCAAAATGATGAAATTCAGTGCTCCTGGCGACAGTCGTAGTCAGCCATGGCCGTGCGAATTGATACGAGCTGGAAAGATCAAGCATTGCACCCTTGGCTGTGCTTGGCACCAATCGGGCTGATGAGGAGCAACTCGGTATTAAACGTTCGGTATCAAATATGCTCTATACATAACACTACCTGAGGCACACAACTCGAACGATATTATTCGCCAATATAGAAGAAATAGTATTTAAGATAAGGAGAAAATGTGTGTTGCAGAAGATAACCTTATTTATTTAGCACAATAGAAAATGATCCGTTGCATTAGTACATCCTAGACTCGATATCCAACTTTTTTCTTAATACTTTGAAGTGGACCTTGGTGCATGAGGTATTGTAGAAGCACAATTGCTCTCGCGAAGTGTATTTTGTTACGTTGCCGAATCGACGACAACCGCGAGGGTCGCAACCAACGATGACGTGTCAGAGTACTGGCCACGAAATGCAAGCCCATGGCTCAACATAATAGATTGCCATAAATTCACATTCCAAACCAAACCATACTAGTATCCGTGAGGTAATCGCTAATTTTCTTAGTATTCTCCCTCGGTTGCCAATAGATACTCTCATCCCCGCTTCAACTGCTGCGTACCCTTCCGGCCTGTGAGGAGACGGTGAGGCGCGTTGCTGCATTCGCGTACCGCACTGTACGCTACTGTACCGTACCCAGGGAAATGTACGTGGTACTTCAGAACGGGGAAAAGGGCGGGTTCGGGTTTTGAAGCACGGACAACGTTCTGCTAACTATTCGCCCTTCTGCCAACTCCGCCCTCGCGTCTCAGCACACCCTTTCGCACCCTTGCACACCCTTGCACACCCTTTCGCACCCTCGTCCACCCTTTCCGTTCACCCTCGTTCCTTGCCCTTCCTACCCTCGCTACCCTTTGGTCCCCCCTCATCGTTACCCCCCTCACCTGCTTCCGCTGCGCCTTCCATCCCGCCCCTCCGCCTCCCCATGCGTCCGCCGTCCCGCCGTGCCTCCGCGCAGCCAGCGGCGAGCGCGGCGAGTGCGCGCCATGGCGGGGACCGCCGGGGCGGTCGAGAGCGCGGCATCAGCAGCGCTGCGCGCGGTGCTGCAGCGAGTGGCGCAGGCAGCGGAACGGGCCGGCAGGAACGCCGGACAGGTGTGATTGCGTGTGGTGTGATGGTGGGTGGTGTGATGGCGGGTGATGTGATAGCGGGCCGTGTGATGGCGGGTGATGTGATAGCGGGCCGTGTGATGGCGGGTGATGTGATAGCGGGCCGTGTGATGGCGGGTGATGTGATAGCGGGCCGTGTGATGGTGGGTGGTGCGGAAGGGGTCACCATGCAATGCATGTGGAGAGGAGGCAGCCGCGGTGCAGGTGCTGCAGCGAGTGGTGCAGGTGCTGCAGCGAGTGGTGCAGGCAAAAGAAGGTGCGGGCAAAAGAAGGTGCGGGCAAAAGAAGGTGCGGGCAAAAGAAGGTGCGGGCAAAAGAAGGTGCAGGCAAAAGAAGGTGCGGGCAAAAGAAGGTGCGGGCAAAAGAAGGTGCGGGCAAAAGAAGGTGCGGGCAAAAGAAGGTGCGGGCAAAAGAAGGTGCGGGCAAAAGAAGGTGCGGGCAAGAGCGTCTTGCAGGGTAGGGGGTAGTGCGGTAGGGGGTGGTGAAAGGGGTTGTTATGCATGCTCTAAGGCGCTCCAGTTCCGGCCGTTGTTCATTACCATTCGATACAGTCACTGCTCCAATCGATCTCCGTCTGTTCACTATTTCGTGTTCCATGCATCCGACCCTCAGGTTCGGGTGGTGGCGGTGAGTAAGACCAAGCCTGTATCGTTGCTTCGGGAGGTGTACGATGCGGGGCAGAGGCACTTTGGGGAGAACTACGTGCAGGAGATATTGGACAAGGCGCCTCAGGTGCGCCTCAGGTGGGCCTCAGGTAGGCTTCAGGTGGGCTTCAGGTGAATTTTGAGGCGGCTCGAAAATCTAGAACTTCGTGCAGGGATAGTGGACAAGGTGCCCAGATGGGCCTACATTGGGACACAGTTGGCTCTCTGCTGGGCCTCGATTGGGCCTCAGGTGGATCTCAGATTGATTTCATGTTGTCCCCAGGTGGGCTTCAGGTGAGAATGAGGTGGTTCTCACCAGACCAGATCCACCGTCATGAGAGTCTCTAGAGTTCTAGGTTCCTGGTGGTTTTTGAGTCGACTCAAAAATCGGTTCCTGGTGGTGCGTGGTGACTTTTGAGTCGACTCAAAAGTCGTCTCTAGAGTTCTAGGTTTCTGGTGCGTGTGGTGTGTGTCGAAGGTGCAGTGACGTGGCAGGTGTTTCAAGGCAGGGGGGGTTCGGTTTTGATGCTCCTGAAAACTAGAAGGTGCGGTGGCAGGCAGGCAGGCAGGTGTTTCGAGGCAAGATGGGGGGGTTGGTTGGTTGGTTGGTTGGTTGGTTGGTTCATGTGCTTCTCGTGACTCGTCCACCTGAGCCCCACCCGAGATTGCACTCAAATCTACACCACTCGCGGCGACTTGAGAGTAACAATGCGTGTGACAGCGTGTGTTTGTGTTTGGGTGTTTGGGGGGTGTGGTGCCATAATGCCATTCCTTCCTGCCTGGGTGGGCTACTGTGTGTGTGTGTGTGTGTATGTGTGTGTGTGTGTGTGTGTGTGTGTGTGTGTGTGTGTGTGTGTGTGCGTGCGTGTTTGTGTGGGGGTGTGGGTGGGGAGGGGGTTGTGTTGTGTGGCATTCTTGCCTGCGTGTGCTAATGTGCTCAACAGCTTCCACCAGACACCAAGTGGCATTTCATCTTTTCATTTCATCTTCATCTTTCCTGCCTGTGTGTGTGGATGTGTGTGGTCAACAGCTTCCACCAGACACCAAGTGGCATTTCATCTTTTCATTTCATCTTCATCTTTCCTGCCTGTGTGTGTGGATGTGTGTGGTCAACAGCTTCCACCAGACACCAAGTGGCATTTCATCTTTTCATTTCATCTTCATCTTTCCTGCCTGTGTGTGTGGATGTGTGTGGTCAACAGCTTCCACCAGACACCAAGTGGCATTTCATCTTTTCATTTCATCTTCATCTTTCCTGCCTGTGTGTGTGGATGTGTGTGGTCAACAGCTTCCACCAGACACCAAGTGGCATTTCATTGGTCACCTGCAGAGCAACAAGGCCAAGAGTCTCGTGTGTGAGTCGCACACACACCGCCACACAGTCACACAGTCACACAGTCACACAGTCACACAGTCACACAGTCACACAGTCACACAGTCACACAGTCACACAATCACACGGTCACACAGTCACACAATCACACGGTCACACAGTCACACAATCACACGGTCACACAGTCACACAATGACACGGTCACACAGTCACACAATCACACGGTCACACAGTCACACAATCACACGGTCACACAGTCACACAATCACACGGTCACACAGTCACACAATCACACGGTCACACAGTCACACAATCACACGGTCACACAGTCACACAATCACACGGTCACACAGTCACACAATGACACGGTCACACAGTCACACAATCACACGGTCACACAGTCACACAATCACACGGTCACACAGTCACACAATCACACGGTCACACAGTCACACAATCACACGGTCACACAGTCACACAATCACACGGTCACACAGTCACACAATCTCACAGTCACACAGTCACACAATCACACGGTCACACAGTCACACAATCACACGGTCACACAGTCACACAATCTCACGGTCACACAGTCACACAATCACACGGTCACACAGTCACACAATCACACGGTCACACAGTCACACAATCTCACGGTCACACAGTCACACAATCACACGGTCACACAGTCACACAATCACACGGTCACACAGTCACACAATCACACGGTCACACAGTCACACAATCACACGGTCACACAGTCACACAATCACACGGTCACACAGTCACACAATCACACGGTCACACAGTCACACAATGACACGGTCACACAGTCACACAATCACACGGTCACACAGGCACACAATCTCACAGCCCGTGGACTTAATCCATGGCTCGACCAACCATGTGCCGGCCAACCATGCTCGTTCTTCCTTGCATATGCGTCTGATCGATGGCCATGCGTGGTTGTTGTCTAGCCATGCTCGTGCTTCCTTGCATATGAGACGTGTTTGTTGTCTCACTACATGGTGCATCTCATTCTAACACCCCCTTCGTCTTCCCTCTCTTTCACTTCTTTTCTCCCCTCTCACTCCAATGCAATACTGCTGTCCCCCTTCTGCTGCCACTCCCTCCCGCTCCATCTCCCACTCGCCCTCCCCCTGCCCCATCTCGCATCTCCTGGCTGTCATCTCTGCTCGCACAACACCCACCACCACCGCACCCCACAACACCCACCACCACCGCACCCCACAACACCCACCACCACCGCACCCCACAACACCCACCACCACCGCATGTGGCTCGCACAACAACCACCACCGCACCCCACAACAACCACCACCACCGCACCCCACAACAACCACCACCGCACCGCCACATGCTGCTGCTGCCGCCAGCAGGAGTGCCGAGCCTCTACATGGTTGAGACAGTCGACAGCAGCCGGGTACGTGTGGGTGTGTGGGAATATGTGTGGGAACATGTGTGGGAACATGTGTGCGTGCATGTCCGTGTATGACTGTATATGTGTGCATGCATGCTGCCGCCAGCAGGAGTGCCGAACCTCTGCATGGTTGAGACGGTCGACAGCAGCCGGGTACGTGTTTGCATGTGGGTATATGGGGGTGCACGTGTGTGTGGATGTGCGTTCATGTCTGTCTATGATTGTGACTGTGTGCATGCATGCTGCCGCCAGCAGGAGTGCCGAGCCTCTACATGGTCGAGACAGTGGACAGCAGCCGGGTACGTGTGGGAATATGTGTGGGTGCACGTATATGTGGATGTGTGCATGTGCATACGCGTGTGTGTGTGTGTGCATGTGCATGTGCGTGGGCATGTGCATGTGCATGTGCATGCTACCGCCAGCAGGAGTGCCGAATCTCTTGTGGTGGAAGGAAACAGTGAATAGCAGCTGGGTACGTGCGTTGAGTGGAACGGAGGGGTGCGTGCATGTGGGGAAAGGGAGGGGTACGTGCGTTGAGTGGAACGGAGGGGTACGTGCATGTGGGAAAAAGGAGGGGTACGTGCGTTGAGTGGAACGGAGGGGTACGTGCATGTGGGAAAAAGGAGGGGATGGCAGGAAGCGGAGGGTTGCATGCAGTTCCGTTGTTCCTGTCACTGAGACGTGAAACCCCGCCGCGCTTGTTCCCTTTACTCCACACCACACCCATCAGATCGCCAGCCACCTGAATAAGACCGTGGCAGTCACTTTTGAGAATTCTCAAAAGTTGTTCCCTTTACTCCACACCCTGTTTTTTGAGAATTCTAAAAAACCATGGCAGTCACTTTTGAAAATTCTCAAAAGTTGTTCCCTTTACTCCACACTGTTTTTTGAGAATTCTCAAAAAAAACCGTGGCAGTCACTTTTGAGAATTCTCAAAAGTTGTTCTCTTTACTCCACACCACACCCATCAAATCGCCAGCCACCTGAATAAGGCCGTGGCAGCAGCAGGGCGGCCTCGTGTTAATTCCCCTTTGATTCCTGAATTGCCTCATGTGCTCACTGATTCTTGAGTTGCCCTCTTGCTCCCTTCCTCTCTCATCCCCTTCTCCCCCATCAGATTGCCAACCACCTGAATAAGGCCGTGGCAGCAGCAGGGCGGCCTCCCTTGCGTGTGCTGGTGCAAGTCAACACGAGCGGAGAGGAGAGTGAGTGGGGGAGGGGGGGTTGTTAGGGCTTTTGAGGCGCCTCAGAAGCAGCGGGGCGGCCTCCCTTGCGTGTTCTGGTGCAAGTCAACACGAGCGGAGAAGAGAGTGAGTTAAGTGGGGGGGAGAGTGAGTAGCGGGGGTAAAGCAAAGGGGACAAACAACGTGTTTCCCTTGTGTGTGCTAGAGTCTACACGAGTGGCGAGAAGAGTGAGTTGGGGGGGGGAGGGGCGTGAGTTGAAGGGGAGGAGTGTGAATGGGTGGGTAGAGTAAGGGGGACAGAGGAGAGTGAATGGATGGGGAGAGTATGTGGGATATGTGTTTTCTTGTTCTTCAGGTCTTTGGTGCAATTCAACACGAAACGGAGAGAAGGGAAAGCGGGGAGAGGGGAGAGGAGAGAGGAGAGTTAGTGTGGGGAGAGGAGGGTGATGATAGTGTGTGGACGCTAAGAATTTACGAGTGCTGAGCCTTGGTGCAAGAGATGGGAGGAGCACAAGCAGGGTGATGGCAGATTCCCCGTCCTGTCATGATTTTTTAGCCTTGGTGCCTTGGTGCCTTGGTGCCTTGGTGCCTCAAAAATCGTTGCATGGGAGCACAAGCAGGGTGATAGCAGATTCCGTCCTGTCATGCATTGTGGAGGGCGAGATGTGGAGTGAGTGTGGAAGGTGGAGTTCGCAGGGCGAGGCGAGAGTGTGCCGGAGGGCGAGATGTATTGAAGGGTTGACTTTTGAGTCGACTCAAAATGAGTGTGTTGGAGGGCGAGATGTATCAAAGGTGTGTGGAATGGTGGTTGCAATGCAAGTGCATTTTGGCATGCTCAACCTCTTTCATCCTTTCCATCCACCACCACCACCACCACCACCACCACCACCACCACCACCACCACCACCACCACCACCACCACCACCACCACCACCACCACCACCACCACCACCACCACCACCACCACCACCACCACCACCACCACCACCATTATTACAATTCCACCACCATTCCAGCACGTCGTGCCCATCAGCCACGTCACCTATGAGTCCCCCAACCTCTTTCTCTCTTTTCCTTTACCCTCGACCCACCTACTCCCTTCCATCAGGCAAGCACGGGGTGCACCCAACGGCGTGTGCGGACCTGGTACGGCATGTCACAGCAGAGCGCCCCAACCTCTTTCCCAGTGCCCTTTTCCCACTTAACCCTTTTCCCACCTTAACATTGTCCATCAGGCAAGCACGGGATGCACCCAAGGGGCGTGTGCGGACATGGTACGGCACGTCACAGCGGAGTGTCCCAACCTTTCCCCCCCCCGCCCCTCTTGTGTGTGTGTTGCTGCAGGCAAGCACGGAGTGCACCCATCGGCATGTGTCGACCTCATGCGCCACGTGTCGCAGCGGAGTGCCATGTCCCAACCTCCTGTTTCGCCCTGATCCCTTTTCCACCACCAATTTCAAATCCCTCCACCACCAGGCAAGCACGGCGTGCACCCATCGGCCTGTGTCGACCTCATGCGCCACGTCTCAATGAAGTGCCCCAACCCTTCCTTCTATTGCCCTCTTCCCATGCGACCCTCTTTCCATCTCAACCCTTTCCACCAGGCAAGCACGGAGTGCACCCATCGGCCTGTGTCGACCTGGTACGGCACGTCACATCCGAGTGTCCAAACCTCTGCTTCGCAGAGCTAATGACAATCGGCATGCCTGACTATTCCTCCCTCTGTTGCTGCAGGCAAGCACGGAGTGGACCCATCAGCCTGTGTCGACCTGGTACGGCACGTCACATCCGAGTGTCCAAACCTCTGCTTCGCAGAGCTAATGACAATCGGCATGCCTGACTATTCCTCCCTCTGTTGCTGCAGGCAAGCACGGAGTGGACCCATCAGCCTGTGTCGACCTGGTACGGCACGTCACATCCGAGTGTCCAAACCTCTGCTTCTCAGGGCTCATGACAATCGGCATGCCCGACTATTCCTCCCGTCCCGAAAACTTCAAGGTTCGAGCTCTCATCCCTCTCTTTCTCCTCCCTCGCCTGCCAATTCTCTTAATCGATGCGATTCTCCTCTCCCCAGCCCTCAATCTCTACTTGAAGAAATGCATTTGCAACATGCTATTCACATTTCAACCCGGTTTCATGCCATAGCTTCTTCCTGATTTTCACCAACTCCCTCCTGTTCGCCATCCTTCTGTTGCACTGCATAACCTTCATCCACCAATAGGCGCTTGCCAGGTGTCGAGCGGAGGTGTGTGAGCAGCTAGGGCTCACACCGAGCGAGTTGGAGCTATCCATGGGCATGTCAAACGACTTTGAGCAGGCGGTGAGTAGAGGATTGAGGTTGACAGTCTCTCTGCAACCTCGAACATGCGAATGTAAGCCGCTCTTGTGTGCCACCCCAGGCGAGTTGGAGCCATCCATGGGCATGTCAAACGACTTTGAGCAGGCGGTGAGTGGCGCATTGAGGTTGTAAACGAAGTATCTCATGAAATCAATATGAGTGTGCCACTTGTTTGCCTCATCACCACCTGTATTCCTCGTTACCATCACCAATGCTACTAATAACCTACAGGTGGAGATGCGCAGCAGCAATGTGCGAGCTTGGTTCACTGTACATGCGATGCGCTCCTGTGCCATCTTGCCTTTTGAGGCGCCTCAAAAACCGTACATGCGATGCCATCCTGCCATCCTGCCATCTTGCCTGTTCTCAGGTTGCACATCTGACCTACCCTGTGCCTGGCAGGTGGATATGGGCAGCACCAACGTGCGAGTGGGCTCCACCGTACATGGCATGGCATACCCGTACTGGCTGTTCTCAGTTTGCACATCTGGCCTTCTCTTACCCATGTGCTCCATGCACTGCAGGTGGAGATGGGCAGCAGCAACGTGCGAGTGGGCTCCACCAAATATGCCATGCCATCTCATCTCAAACTGCTGTACATCCGACCATGTGCCCCATGCACTGCAGGTGGAGATGGGGAGCACTAACGTGCGAGTGGGCTCCACCATATTTGGTGCTCGAGACTACTCCAAGTCGTGACCACGTTTAAGTCAACATGACTGTCAAATTACCGTATGACCATGCTACCAAGTCATGCCCAGGGTAGACCACACAAGTGCTGTATAGTGACGACGACGCCCGGTCATACCATAGGACTGCCTTGTGGCACGCACTCCCTGTGAGTGGTTTTCTAGAATTCTTAAAATCCATACAACTACCTAGTCATGCCTAGAAAATGCCACGCAAATGCAATATAGAATACCATAATAAGACTGCATTGTGGCAATCCTTCCTTGAAAACGATTTTTGAGGATTCTAAACAAAGTCATGCCTAAAAGAGCAATGAAAAACACGTGTGAAATTTCTTAAGTATGTTCTTGTCATCTGACTGACTTATGAGGGCCTGCTTTCACCCCTCTGATGCAATCCTTGTTTGTTCGTTTGGTTGCACCTATAACACTGGTACACCTAACTTCCGCCAATTTAGTACTGGTATAACCTTCACATTTTCTAGTTTGATCCATCAGACACCGAAAAACAAAAGAGATGAAAAAAAATCGTCGTGCATGGGTGTTGCGAAGACGCCAATCTGGGATAGCAGAGCGTGGGTATTGCTTTTGTTGTGCGTCTGTTTGCGGTACTCCTACTCGCAAATAGCACTAAAACACTACCCCATGTATTTTTGAAATTAGTGGTACGAAACCCCGACTTCAAATAGACTAGGAGTAGTTGCCCATCGTCCTGCACGGTGGTGAAATTGGGTGCCTGAATTTGGCGGTGGGTAGGTGTTGCTGTCAGTCGATCCCGCAATCTGACAACATTCCATATTCCTCTCCACAGTACAAATATTCCTCCAATTCAGCAAGATTCCATTCGGAAAACCTAGTATTCCATCAAAGTCGAATCGCACATCCAATGTGGAGCTTTTCAGTTTGCCACTAGCGAACGATCTCGTTCAGTTTCGCACAAACCTTCGTTACCGATTTGCAGAAGCAACCACCTGGCGGCGAGTTCACTGACGGCGTAGACAGCTTCGCACAAATCTCTGTAACCAGTGAATGCTGCCCCATCCTTTCACGGCTCGTGAAACGAGATGGGATACGACGTCCATCCTTTCACGGCTCGTCGGTCCGAAGCGCACAATTCCAAATGTGAAGCATAAATTCACCCACTCTGCTCTGCTCTACACCACATCACTCACTCAACTCCTGCTCTCGACTAAAGCGAGTTCTGATCAAACCCAGAATCCTCCATTTATTTTTTTCTGGGTACCATGGCTCACTCCTATCACACCCTCGCAGTGGCTCTCCTGGTTGCTTCTTTCTCGTCGCATGCGCTCGCTGGCTTCATGGGCGGAGCGTCGACCTTCGCAACTGTAAGTCTCAACTGACATCTATCCGTTTTGCCCTCACCTGATTCTATTACGAGTGACTCCATCGATTCCATCGATACCGTCAAACGCGGCGCGGTTCAGGATCTTCCACAGCTAATTTCTGATCAAACTCGTCCTTACCCCTGATATGTACCACATTTCAGGCCGGGGCAAAGCTCGTCGCGGCGTGGAACAAGGCCAAGCCGGGAGTCACCCAGGACGTGGTGAATTACGATGGGGTAGGATCGGGCGCCGGGATCACCGGATTCAACAGCGGCACTTACGTCATTGCTATGTCCGATGACACCATGACCACAGCGCAAGAAGGCGGTAGCACCTCCCCCAAGATCACCGTGCCGCTCTGCGTCTCCACCTTCAGTTTCTTCATCAACGGCAAGCCCAACATCTGGATGACGGCCACCCAGACGTATCAGATCTACAGCGGCGCAATCGCCGCATGGGGCGCCGCCGTTCCTGGCTCGGTCGGCAAGGTCGCGGGCGCTATTACCCGCGTGGCGCGCAGCGACTAGTCCGGATCCACCGCAATTGTGAAGACCATGTGGAGCAAGGCCGTCTCGGGCTATGGCGACGGCATGGACGGCACGGCCATGACGTACGCCGGCCTTAAGAAGGTGGAGGGCACCCAGGCCGTGTGCGACGCGATTGCCGCGACCAAGGGCGCCATTGGTTACGCGTTCACCGGTGCCTGCAGCGTGACTGCGAAGCGTCAGTTCGCGGCTGTCAAGAACGCTGCTGGCGTGGCCATTGTCCCCTCTAAATGGAAACCCGGAGCTGCGATCCCCACCACCCCGCCCGCTGCACCTGATGCTTCCTGGGCGACCGTGGACTTTATCTACAAGGGCAGAGCTACAACCCCTCCCATGGTGTCTATGGAGTTCGCTTTCATCCGCAAGACCGTCAGCGGCGCGCAGGGCAGGATCGCCAAGGCGTTCAGTGCGACGCCTCCTGCTTGGCTCAACCCGTCCAGTGCCTTGCTGAATGCCATTGTTGTGTCGGCGTAAGAGGTGCTTCTGTCACACAGATGGCTAGCTTAGCTGGACATGGGGCATGCATAGATGGTCATGCATAGTATTAGCAGTGTTTGTTTGTCATCCCCTAGCTTGCTCACGTGTTACCCATGTCCCGGTTTATATTGTCTTACATGTGATGTGGTTGTGTACTACACTTAGTGAAAGCAATTTTTTGTTAGTGTGCTGGAAATGTGGGTTTTTACACATAGCAAACCTGCCTGGCGATCTTAACCGTTCGGAGCATGGTTGGATTCATCTAAAAGCTAAGAGCCTAAACCCAGCTGCTATGCTTTTTTACAGCCACAGCCAGAGATGGTATGCCAATAATGGGGTCACATGCCATGATGCAACGTGCAGGATGAATGTAGCTAACCCAGGTACACTAAGGTAGCTAGGGGTGTATTTATGGGTAGCTGGGATGACTGCACAAGCTCAAAATGGATAGGTTACTACCAATAATTCACAACCAAGGGATCAATACCATATGACTGCCCCCACTGCGATATGCGTTTGGTTGTTGTACAACTACCGTAAGCACAGCCAGATGGATTACAAAGTCCCAGTATAAGGTGGAATACCAGGGATGACATTGGGTAATACCGTAAATGCATTGGCTCATGACTGAAGTGCATGAATTGTGTGCATTCTTGTAACTAGTGTAATTTGCGTAGGCTTTGCTACAGGGCTAATTTTATCATTGTAAATCATCCTGATACCCTGATTATCAGGGTGGTTTTTGGTAGTCACACTGATGGCCTGGGGTAATTATTTGTGGAGCTAGGATTTTCCTGATATGCCAGGGTTTACATTTAAGGCACACTGATGCCTCAGGGTTACCTTTCTTCATAACGAGTTTTTCCCTGAAGCGAGTGTCAAACATATATTTATATGTTATAGTTTGGGTAGGCTTAGTGGGGTACTCACAGTGGGGTACAACCCCTTTGGTTTCACTTTTGTACCAAACTCCTCGATAGTTGATCCATTTCCCTTGACTTAGTCTTGATATGGTATCTAGAGCAGGAGGTCTCTAGGACCTAAGAATCGGGCCCACCTAACTGTGTTACCACCTGCCTGCCTTGCCTACTGCCCGCGCGCGCCTCGGCTGCAGCGCGCGTAACTTTTTTTTCCGCGCGCGCCTCGGTTTCTAGCGCGCGCGTCACTGTTTTTAGCGCGCGCCACTGCTGCAGCGCCGCGCGCCGGCCCGCGTCGCCCGCGCAGCCCGCGTAGAGCCCGCGCGCAGCCTGCTTAGGCCACGCCCGCGCAGCCCGTCGCCACGCGCAGCCAGGAGCCGCGCGCAGCCCGTCGCCACGTGTAGCCAGGAGCCGCGCGCAGCACGTAGCCACGCACAGCAGAGAGCCGCGCGCAGCCCTCAGCCGCACGCAGCCAGCAGCCGCGCGTGCCCTACTCGTGTACCTGCCTGTGAGGCTCACTACTGCCGAGCCCACTGCCTTAGACCTGCGCGGCCTGCTACTGTCTAGAGCCCCACCTTAGGAGCTCGAGTGCAGCAAGCTACTGCCCTGTACGTTGCCTGTACTGCCTGCTGCCTACTGCCTCTGTCTTAGCCTGCGGTGTACTGCCTGCTGCCTCCTGTCTACTGCCTGCCTGCTTTCTGCTGCCTTTGCCTGCTGCCATTATGACGACGCCTAACGTTCTCGCGTTCGAGCCTGACGGTCGCCCCATAGAGTTCGCTGTGTGGTTAGATGATCTCCAACTGTTCCTTCTGACCGATGCCAAAGAGGGCGTTTCACTGTTCGATTACGTGTCTGGCACTGCCGTTGCTCCTGCTGCCGATGCTCCTGCTCTCGAACGCTCACAGTGGCAGACTCGCGATGCTGCTGCACGCCTAGCTATTAGGAACCATCTGCCGATTACTGAGCGCGCGCATTTCAGCCAGCAGAAAACTGCTAAGACGCTGTACG